AATTATACTTTTTAAAACCCATAGCCAAGGCAATAATGGCTTATTCTCAGAATGGGAATTTGCTTTTCAAAAAAAGATTTTCTTGAAAGTTAAAAAAAAACAAAAAAACAGGGCAAGTAAACTTTTATTTGTCCAAATCAGGAAACTACCATCCCCAACACATTTGGAACAAAAGTCAAGCCACAACCCTGCAAATATCTCTTAACAAACGATTGCAGCAATCATTCGGATAAAAACTATAACAAAGTTAACAGTTTGGATCCTCACATCAAAGGAGTGCTTAGAAGAGCTGGCAACCAAGAGAAAGCTTACTAAGAATTTGATCTTTGCTGTACCCACAAACCTCTAAGAAACAAAGTAAGTACTGGGGCAATAATAACAAGACACCCTTTGGAGCACTGAAAAACAATACAAATAAAAAGCAAAAGAAACAATAATCCTAAACAATTCTATAATAACAAGACATTCCTGTTACACCTGACAACTTCCTTTGCTGCCAATGCTTTGTGCCACCCTGCCCATCCCTGAGCTGCCTGGCCCTTATTCAACTATTGTGCCTTGCTAGGAAAGACAATTCTGGAGAAAAGGCAATAAACTGGCATATTCAGAATGTAGAACCTTATTATTAGGAGGGTGGGGGAGGAAACACAAATGGGGGAAAAGCCAAAAGGAGGTTTAGAATTTATTAATTTGACTGGTTTACTCCCTTCTTTTCTTTTCTCCACCTGAATCAAATGCCTTTTTTAAAAAACAAGTTTGGCTAGAATTAAGTGAATTGTCTCTGACTAGCAGATTGCCTGCATATTGGTAGAAATAAATGGGGTAAGGATGCTAAAAAAGAAAATCTGTTCCTAACCATTTTTACACAGCATACTAGGTAATAATTTCCTCCAGGAATTCAACCTTTCTCAGAGGACTTTCTTTAAAATGAGGTCATTTTTTTGCACTGCAGAAGAGAAAAGTTGGTCTTGAGTTCAAGGTTCACTTCCAGGTGTTTGTTTTTTACAACGCAAAGGTTTTTTTTTAAAGGCTGGAAATGAGAAAGATGCTGAAATGGATTATTTCGCCCTGGCTAATTGGGGGCAAAAAAAGGGTGAAGCACCCCTCCATCCTACTGGGCCTTCTGACAAGGAAGGGGTCTCAAAGGATCTTCGGGTGGAGAAGAGACCCCCAATGACCCCCCCGAAATCCAGCCCCCTCCCAAAACCTATGCAGGTGGGGCACCCATAGCCTCTGCAGCCCCTCCCCATCTGCATCTCCCCCCACCTCTCCAGAAAAGCCAGAACAAGGGAATGAATGAATATGGGGAGAATTCAGATTCTGCCTAGACCAGTGGTGTCCAACGTGTGAACCCACGCCCCACGGGGAGGGGGATTTGATTTTTAATTGGGGGGGGGCAATCTGAACCTTGTTTAAACCAAGTTAATGGGCTTTTAGGCTTCCTCGCTGAGTAGAGTTCAATTTTTAAGTAACAATTATGTCTGGGGGGGGGGGGGGATCAGGATTTTAGAGATGCTTAGGTGGGGCACGGCCCCCCCAAAAAAGGATGGGAACCACAGGCCTAAGATTGGCAGAGCTGGCAAGTAGATGCCGAGACCCTGGCCAGGAAAAAAAGTAGAGAATAGAGGGGAGGGGGCTCCCATCAGGGGTTCAAGGGGAAGGAGAGCCCCCCCCTCCCACTCAGGATTGCGCCTAGCAGAGAGAACTGGGGCTGCTTTCACAGTTCATTTCACCCCCACCTCCAATACAGAGACTCCGCTCGGGAAGGGCGATCCCCCCCTCCTTCCTCTGCACAACCGCCCCGCGAGGCAGGACGGGCGGAAAGGTCAAACGGGGCCAAGGTCACGAGGGGCCGCTTCGGACGCCCCCTCCCGTGGGAGACCCCCCTGAGAGAAAGAAAAGGTGGGACCAGGGCGGAGGGTTCCCCTGAGACCCTCGTTTTGCCCGCCCCCCATCCCCCACCGCGACTCAGGCAGGCCGGAGAGGAGCGCCCGCCCCGCCAGGGAGGCTGTCCGCCCGGCTGGAGGCTCCGGTCGGACTTTCCCCCCACAGGGTGGGCGGGGGTCGCGCTTCGGAGCCCACCTTTGAAGAGATAATCGTACTCGTCGTCGCGAGAGCCCCCCATGGCGGTGATGGCGGCCTCTGAGCGAAGAAGGAAGCGCAGGCAGAGCCAAGGGGCCGCTCCCTGCAGCAGCCGCCGCTCCCTCCGCCTCCAGACCAGTGACGCTCCGGTTCCGCCCCCTGACCGGCCTCGCGCGCTCTTCTCTCCGCCCACCGACGACAACTTCCGGGCAATGCTCCAAGCGCTTCTGGGGTTACGCCCTCCGTGGGGGGGGGAGCTCTTCCGATGCCGAAGGAAGAAAGAAGAGCGCCAGAGAGACGCGGGGGAGAGGGTGTAGCGCGTCCCCCACCTCTAGTTCCCGGTTCATTAAGGAAGTGCCGGAAGTGTCACCTGTGAGTGGGAGCCGGAAGTGGAAGGACTCTCTGATTTTGATCTGTCAGGGGCGGGGTGGGGGAAAGAGGAGCCTTCCCGCATCTGGCTAGCCACTGAGAGGCAGAACTGCTCTTTGCTGCCCCCCGCTGGTCGGCCGGCTCGTTGCAGCCTTGAATGAGAAAATTGGTGGAACTGGAAAAAAAAAATGAAGGTGGAGGAGAGAGGCGGGGTTTGCAAAAGGGCTAGGCCCCTGAGCATGCACAGAGTGCCGCCTTCTTCCCACCCACCCCCGCCCCTTAGATTTTTTTTCCTTTGAGTCTGGTTGCAATTCACCCTCGGTGCCACAGAGCATGCGCAGAATTCCTTTTTCTCCCCAAAAGGAGCAACAGCGGTTTCCCCCCTCCCTTTTTTCCCTCTCCCCCCCTCTCCTTTCTGCCCTCTGTGCATGCTCGGTAGTCCTTTAAACCCCCACCCCAAAAACCCTGCCGCTCTCTTGTCAGGTAGCAAGGGAAACCTCTGCCAGGGCGGCTTTTCTACGGGCTCCTGACGGCCCTGGTGGCGCTGTGGTTCCATGGTGTAATGGTTAGCACTCTGGACTCTGAATCCAGCGATCCGAGTTCAAATCTCGGTGGAACCTGCTCAGCTGTCTTTCTCTTTTTTCCCCCCTATCTTCTCCTTTTAATCTTTGGCTGCTTCTTTCCCCGGGAGCTTCCTCCGGAGCCGATGAGCCTGGATGGGTTTTTTGTTTTTTTCATTTAAAATCGGCGCTTTTCAAATTCGGATGCTTTAACAAGGATGGACTTCAACTCTCAGAATTCCCCCTCCAGCCTTCCCAGTGCCCAGGCGGAGCCCCTCCCTTTAGAATAAGGATAGAAGAAGAAGAAGAAGAAATAAGAAGAATATAAAGTAGGAATACGAATATAAGAATAAGAAAGAATAAGAATAAAAGAATGAGAATAAATTGAAAAGAATAAAAATAATAATATAAGAATAAGAATGAAAAAAGAATAAAAGAATATGACTATAAGAATAAAAATAAGAAAAATAATAAGAATATAAGAATAAGTTTAAAAGAATAAAAATAAGAATAAGAAAGAATAAGAATGTAAAAATAAGAATAAGACTAAAAGAATACAAATAAGAATAAGAATAAAAATAAGTATAAGAATGTTGAAAAGAATAAGAATAAAAGAATAAGAATAAATTGAAAAGAATAAGAATAAAAATAAGAAAGAATAAGAATGAAAATAAGAATAAAAGAATATGAATATAAGAATAAGTTAAACGGAATAAAAATAAGAAAATAAGAATATAATGAAAATAAGAATAAAAAATAAAGAATAAAAATATAAGAATAAGATTATAAGAACTGTAAAAATAAGAATAAATAAAAAATAAGAATATAAGAATAAGAATAAAAAGTAAGAAAGAAATAATAAGAATATACGAATAAGTATTGAATTCTTTATTGGCCAAGTGTGATTAAACACATAAGAAATTTGTCTCTGGTGCAGAAGCTCTCAGGGTGCCTGCAGTGTACAGAGTAATCATCAGCATCATAATGATATCAAAAATAGAAGGTGGTGGAAAAAAAATGAGAAGGATAATAGCCACACAGCCCTGCTACATGGGTAAATATCCTTAGGGCAGTGTTTCTCAACCTTAGCAACTTGAAGATGTCTGGACTTCAACTCCCAGAATTCCCCAGCCAGCGAATGCTGGCTGGGGAATTCTGGGAGTTGAAGTCCGGACATCTTCAAGTTGCCAAGGTTGAGAAACACTGCTATAAAGTGAAACTTAGGCAGGCAGGCAGGTAGGCAGACATTCAACCTGATCATTGAATCAGACAGTATTTATCACAGTAAGAACTGAATAATCTTCTGATTCAGTAGTGCTAGAAAGAGAAACGGTTTCACTTTATTTTTTAGTTTAATTTGATGGAAGAAAATTTGTTTTAGAAACTCAAAGAAGAGAAACACTTTTAAAAAACTGAAGAATTTTTCATGGATGGAA